CAAGGTTTTTCTTGGAGAGAATATTCATCCACTTTAATGTCTACATAGTGAGAGCAATCTCAGCAAACACTTGAATGTATCTCTCATTTGGAAATTATATCAAGCAGCTGGTTATTGTTCAGTATTATCTTTCACATGGAACATTTTTCAATAGTGTCCTTTTCTGTATTAACTTGACAGAAAAACAGATAATTTGACCCATGCACTGCTATATTTGATTCATCCTCAGTCAGGTGATCTGAATCTCTTAGCATACTTCATTTAGGAAGTTAGTACTGGAACTAAGACAAATTACAGTTAGGAACACTGGTACTGCCTAGCAGTGGGCTTCCATCCCAATTATGTGGGAAAAACGAATAATGAAAGTAGATGATCGTGTCAGAGAACAGTGTGGAGACTGAAGCTGAGCAGAAGTGTGATCCACAGGGGAAAGTTAAAAGTTCATCATGATAAACTTTCTGGATTGAAGCATGTCTAAATGAAATTTGTAACAGGAAACTTTTGTGTTTGCGCTGTAGAAATGAGCTGCAATGTGTTACAATAAATTATTTAAGAATATCCTCGTAGTTCTGAGCCTCAGGTAATGGGAGGGAAATTAAACAATGGAAGTTCGTGTTACAGTGCCTCTTAGTTTTCTGTGTATTTGACAGGCATCAGTTAGTAAATGCTTTTTCCATCAGATAACTCCAAGGAGGGGAGATGCCAGGTAATAGCCTCAGAGAAAAAAACAATCAAAAAATTTGTAACTACCAATCCTGTTTTGCTTTCTGCTATCAAGGACAATTATCTTAAGTATAATAACTTCTGTTGTAAGTGAAGCCCTTGGAAAATGAAAATGTGGGTAGGCTTAAAAAGCAAGGATGTTATCTATCGGGGCTTTGTTTGCTAACATTCAGTCATTTGACCTTGGGAAAGATATACAATAGAAAGTACAATATTATGATTGCTGTACTCCCTCACTTGTGATATTGGCCTTGCTATTGATTTTAGCTTTAGCAAGTCATTGTTGAGCATTTTCTATGTCTAGTGTGTTGTGCAACCTATTTCTGGCCAGAGCCTGAAGTGTGAAAGGGATGGTTGCAGTTGTGGAAACAATTGAGTATACCAGGGCATTATTGTATGGGGTGGGACACAGAAGTTTTCTTAAGTAACCTTGTTCTTATATTATAAAATGGGTTTGTAAAATATTTAATAATATAAATAATATACAAAGACAACCTTTTAAAGTTCTTGTTTAATAAGTGATGCACATAGTTTAGCTTGCTTTAATTTTGTACAGAAACTATTAACACAAATTTTTAAATATTTTTCTTTTGGGCCTTAGCATTTTATATTCATGACCTGATGATTAATATTCTTATACTTTACTCTTTGAGAAATTGACTAGATTATGTTTTATAATTTTCATATTCTAAGCCATGAGATAAGGGGGAGGTTTTAGGTGGCTACATTGCAAGTACATTTCCAATAACACAGTGAAGACTTTAATTATCTTCATGCCATCAGCCAGAAATTAGAATTAAAAAGCATTAGGAAGAAAAATTCTTAAGATGTCATGTGCTATCAGAAGTCTGCTCATATAAAAAATCATTGTATGAAGCATTTTGAGACATTTATAGACTTTTCTACTCTGGTTTCCTTTAACTCATTTTCCAACATCCTTTCTATTTAATAAAAAGAGATTATATTTGGCTATGTGATTGAGGTCTCCTTTCAGACACCTACAGCCTGAGCTGTGGCTACCTTGTTTCAGCTGCTAACTTCAGCCTCCTGTTAATATAAATCCTGAGAATCAGCAGTGATTACTCAAGTAATTGGGTCTCTGCCACCCATGTATTAGACCTGAATTGAGTGCCTGGTTCCCACTAGTTCTATATTGAGAAGTATAATTGTTTTAGTTACTGCTTTCTAAAAACTGAAATCATAATGGATGTCCTAGCCATCCTTACTGCCCTAACACTTCTACAAACACTGGTGAATCCTGCAGTTCGTGAGCCAAGCCTTAGGACACGCTTCTTCTTCCTCCCCTGCACTGATCTCTCATCCCAGCCTGGCTCATTCCCATTGCTACTCTGAATGGGAGAGTGCAAGGTTTTCATCCTTAGGCCTAAAGAGGAGGAGGGCATTTGGAAGGCCTGTATTAGGTCCTGCAGAATGGATAATATGTGGCATGATAAATAGGTTCGGATTTAAACTTTTAAATTCCAAAAGGTTTATGAGAATATTCTAGAAAAATCTGTACTTAATGAAAACTCATTTTCCATGCAAAGAAAAAAGTTGTATCCTAATAAAATGGTTACATGCTGTTAGAGAATTATTATTTCAAGGAGTATGGGAAGGAAGCAATTATTTTATATGAAAACCTCTGCTTTTGGTTTTCATACCTGCCAACTCTTCATACTTCCATTCCTTGTATCCACAGATTTTAGTATAAGTGCTTCCTTTGAAAATTTCTTTGTAAAAAGAAGTTTATTTTGCTTTTTATTTGAAAGATAGAATAACAGAGAGAAAGGTTTTTCCATCCATTGTTTCACTCCCTAAATCATCCGTAAAGCCAGGACTCAACCAGCAGGCAACTCAAGTCGTCTACGTAGGTGGTAGGGGCCCAAAGTTTGGGCCATCATCTCCTGCCTTTCTAGGCACATTACCAGGCATGCTCAATCAAAAGCAAAGAAGCTGGGACTCAAGCTGGCACTACCATGTGGGATGCAGGTATTGCTTCTAGCTTTTGAACATGCTACATCACAATGCCTGCCTCAATGTCCTATATTTTAAACAACTATTTTCTGTGTAAATATATATAGGCAATGTACTGTTGCAACTTGATGTAAAGTACATGCTGTTTTAACAATTTAACTAGTAATCTGTTTAAAATATATGTGTATGTACCAGTTGGTTTTCTGATTTGAAACTAAAGCTCTGTTAGGTTTTTAAAAGAAACATGCCAAATGTATGGGTTGCAATAGATTTTATCTAAGAGCTGTTTGGAGTAGCAAAAAAGTCTCAAAGGACTAAATGTTTTTTATATACTTTGTGTTTTCATATAAACCTGAGAGAAGTTTTTGTCATTTCTTTTCATTTTATAGAGATTTTATAACACATCAGCATCCATTTGTAGTCAGTGGTTCGTCTCAATTCTGTAGGGGCCTCTTCAGCCTTTCTTTCTTTTTGATGGACTTTGTTATGTTTTATTCTAAATTTATATCTTCAACCCTGATTGCTCCCCTGAACTCCTATTGCTCATTCTTACTCTTGGCTTGGATGCCTCACAGGCCATTTTAAGTCTAACATAACCCAAACAAAGCCTCTCAACTTCCTGCAACCATCCCTACTCCTTTTACATTTTCTCTCATCTTAATAAATGTCAACTGTAACCTTTCACTTGTTCAGGCCAAAAATTTGACCATTGTCCATAAATCTTTCCACTCCCCATAAGCAGTCCTTTGGAAAGTCATGTTGGCTGCCGCTCCTTCTCTCCCTACTTCTGCTGTTACCAATGTCCAGGCAACAGAGGTTCTCAGCTCTGCTCCCTTCTTTGCCTCCTTTAAGCTCATTCTCTCCACAACAGCCACCATGATCCTTTCAAAACAGAAATCAACTCCGCTTGTTTGGCTCAGACTCAATCCAGTGGCTTTCTGTCTTACCCAAAGGCATTTCAAACAGTTTTCAAGCCTCGGATGATCTGCCTGCCTTTTGGATTTCCTGTCTTACCTTCTATTCTTCCTCCTTCCTCTGTTTTGCCCGTCCCAGCCTTCTTACCATGTTACTCTATAACCAAAAACATTGCTACCTCCAGGCCTGTTGGAGTGTTCTTTCTCCTGACATTGAACATTCATTCTTCGTATATACAAATGGGGTCTTCAGCAAGTTCATGAAAAATGGCAATTTTAAATAACTGTGTGGATTTCAAAACTTTGGGGACAAAATAAAATGATCTTTCCATTGTGTTTTTGCATAAGTTTTCCAAAGTACACTTTTACACATGTTCATTGCTACCATGCTTCCAGGTTGCTGCTGAAATGTCAGTATCTTAAGGAGCTTTTCTTACTTGTTTTTTTGTTTGTTTGTTTGGTTTTGTTTTTGGTTTGTTTGATCCCTTTGTCAATTCTCTCCTAAATGTTTATACACATGTAGCATTTTTTTGTCAACTTTTTTTCCCTGTCTCATTAGAGCTTAAGCTCTGTGAAGTCAGGGGCTTTGTTTTGTTTGCTGGTTTGTTTTTGCTTTTGTTTTCTTCATTGCTCTTAATCCAGTACCTGTTTGGGACAATGACATGTGTTTGGCCAGGACCTCGATTGTGTCGTATCATGTCCAGTGCGTAAGCACTGTTCTCTGTAGCCTTTTATTCCACAAATGAGGCTTTTCATTTTGTGGAGCACAGTATTGCCTTTTCCCTTCTTCTGTCCTGTTCTCCTGCCCCTGAGGATATAGAGGACCACATAGAAGACAGTAAGGGTCTCCATGTTTGTGGTAAATGCCGTAGCTTTCCTGAATACATTTTCTTGCTCACTCTGCTCTGTTAGGAAGTTGGATCAAAAACTCAGACAGGACATACTTCAATCTTTGTGGGAATAAAAGGCTACTGTTCCTCATTTGAGACACAGTGGCATTTGGAAACTGCAGACAGTTTGGACACGGCATGATACAGCATGCATCTAGCTTTCAATAAGTAGCTTATTTGCTGATTTTGGAAGATTTTGTGTAATAGTGTAACTGGTAATGGGAAAAGGTGGGATTGAGATGAGTATTTCCTGTGCTGGTTTAGTCTTGCCTCCCTCCTCCTGCCTGCAGGATGCTGCTGTTGCTGCATGTAACCCCGTGATGTTCTTCAAAAGAGTATGTCCCAAAAAAGTCCTTTCACAAACTGAAAGAGCCCTGTATTTGTTGTGAATCTTCCCAAAGAAGCTACTTAAAGACCTCCACATTTTATTTGGAAAAATTATGTTCTCTTTCTGAAATGACTCTTGTTAATGTTGATTGTCTCCCTCTTGTTTTTGCAGGTGATCTGCAACTCATTCACCATCTGTAATGCAGAGATGCAGGAAGTTGGGGTTGGCCTGTATCCTAGGTATGGTGGATGGTATTTTCATTTAGTGGAAGACACTGCTTTCATTTCCATTTAGCCCCCATACTTTTTGAGGCAGTTGGAAAGGCTGCAGCCACTGGTTCCACAGCCAAGCTTGAAACTTAATGATGAATTTAGGGAAATACTAAAATGTTTCGGTTTAAAGAAAAACAGTTTTATAAACCCAGATTGTGTTCTGGGCATGTAACAAAGAGGTAGACTTCAGACCTGAATTGTTGTTCTCAGAGGGATTTAGATTTAAGAAGCTGAGACTGGTGGCAGCTGATTAGCTGTCAGGTTGAGAGTTGATTATTCCTGCACCCCTACCCTGGTCTTAATCCTCAACCTCCAGGGATGAAGTACATGGTTATTTCACCAGATCTGCTATACCACACCAGTGAGTTGGTATTTTTCTTTTGAGTTCACTTACTCTGAGCCCGGAGGTTGAAAACTCAGGGCTTGGTGCTCCAAAATACTCTCTCAAAGGATTATTGAGCTGAACTTTATCTCTAACCAATAGCCTAACCTTCCCCAAGCATTATATTCACTCTTCATTTCATCTTGTTTTCCTGCCATTAAAGTCCAAACACAAATGTAGGATTTCTTACACTTGGTTAAGTCTGAGTATTCAGCTTCTTATTTCTCTCAAAGGTCAGGTGTGTTGGTAAGGATTCTAAAGCAGCAGTTACATAAGATGTTCAGAGCCTTAGCTTTGAGTTCAGGACACCTGATTTGGATTCATTCACCATTTACTCATTGTACATCCTTGGGCAAATAATGTAACTTCAATGTATCATTCTCTTCATCTACCAGTATAAATGGTCCTCTTGCATTGTGATTGCATTTGGTAAATTTGCTCCAGTGCTAAGAAAGTTGTTTCTGCCTATTAAGCATTTATTTTGTTATTAATTTATGACAGCTGCTTAAATCCATTCCATCTCCCAGGTGGTTAAAAAAATATATATCTCCAAGGTAATAAAATAACTGGGCTTTGGCCCAGAATGCATCACAATCTAGTTAGCAAGATAACCTCAGCTTTCCATTTATAAGGAAGTTCTAATTAATCCTCAGTGTGGATGTTCTAGCAGAGGCAGCATTTCTTCAGCAAATGAGATCCTGTCCTGGGAAGGGCAGGGTGTGATGGGCTGCGGCATCCCATTATCTCAAAGAAGATTTCTTTGCAAGTTAGTTTTTTCCCATCTTCATGTTTGGTTGACTTACTGGTTCATAGCTAATGAGACAACTACTTTCCCACCTCCCACTTTCAAAAAGGACTTAGAAATGTATTTTTTTTTTTTTTTGAACAAGCTTTCCTAATGAACCTCCATCTTGGGGAATATTTCACTTTATGTGAAGCGGGTTGGTGCACAACTGTGAACGTACCCAGAGAATTCAACCTCTGCTGTCCTGTTTGCCCTACCAGCTCTGTTCCCTGTAAGGTGTCCTTTACCCATTGTATTCATTAAATTTAACTGGTAGTATGCAAAGCCATGACTGTCTCCTTCTGTTTTTTCTTTCTTCTAGTATGTCATTGCTTAATCACAGCTGTGACCCCAACTGTTCAATCGTGTTCAATGGGCCCCACCTCTTACTGCGTGCAGTACGAGAAATCGAGGCTGGAGAGGAGGTAAGGAAATGTGTGTTACTAACCACCTGACTTGCTTTCCCATTACAATGTGGCCCTTCTCTAAAACTAGTTGTGCCTGAAATGCAAAGTTTCATTGTCTTTCGCAATGAGGAGATTAATATGACAGTCAAACTAGTAGCCAATTACTACTTCTGTGTTCTAGACACACTGATTTTTCTGGAGTTCTCACCATGTTTGTGTGTGATAGTGGTTACTCTTGTATGTGTGAGAGAATGGTGTGTGATTACAGATGTGTTTTTATGCACACACAGGAGAGTCATCACATCTCCTCAGTTGCAACAGCTCTGCAGCCTCACAAAACCTGTAAATGGTGATCTTTTCATGGGTGGGCAGAGCAGCCCTGTTTGTGAATGGGATACCAGGGCTCCTGACACCCAAGACGAGGTTTTGAAGGTGATTCACACTTTGATCTCCATGATAAGAAAACAAATAGATCAAGCTAACTTAGGACTCTGTAAACCCAAAGATGCAAAGGATATAGCAGTGGTCTGGCCACCAGCAGTGGTGCCTCCAGTTTTGCAACAGCCAGATCACCCCTGTTGGAGAGGGACTGTCACAGAAGCCTGTGATCGACTGGATGGGGCAGCCACACAGGGTGAGCTCTAGGGCTGCTGAAGCTGAGCCCGCCTGCAGCTTGCGCAGTTTCTAGCTGTGCTGAGTTCTGGGGCGTAGATAGCAATAATTCCTAGAACCCAGCTTCCTTCTCCCTTCCAATTTGCTAAAGTAGATATTTATTGCAAGGAAAACAGAATCATAAGCTTTTATTGCATTTATGTAGCACTCAGCCAATAAAATCTAAACACAGAGGTACCATATTTTATGTAGATAGGGGTTTGGTTTGGACAAGACTTCCTGTAAGCTGATTTTCAACCACATGTGCTGCCTCATACAGTGACTTTTTGAACTTCCAGTTTCTAGGGCTCATGTGTTGAGTAAGCATACTGGGATATCTGTCAGTTATATGGAGAATCTTGATTTATTTTGCTGGGACCATAAATGACTTCCAGACAGACAATGAGGGAACCGCTATCTATAATATTACTTTAGTGTCGATGATGATAATGATGAAGTTGATGATGTTTCAGTAAACACATGTGTTTGTGCTTTAAAAAAAATAATTTGACAAACGGAAAAACTATTAGAAATGGCCAGAATTTACAACAAAGAATTTTTTCTTTTATATATATAAATGTGTGTATATGTACATATATGCATATATATCAATGTTTGCCATCTGTACTGCTTGGTTGCTTGTTTTTGTTGTTGTTGTTTTGACCTTTTCACATCCTTCTCTCCATCTCTGAAGCAACAAGCGTGTCTTTCCTCCTGCTTATCACCAGTCATCGCTGGTCAGTGTCAGGCCCTGCAGCTGCAGGTGTCTTCCTCTGTGGTGTTTGTCCACACAGCCTCTCCTCACAAAGTGGATTCTCCCCCATAAGTCAGCTTCGACTTCTATTCCAGCTGTATGTCCTGGTGATTGGCGCTTCCTCTGTCCATTTGTCCTTTCCTCTATCACTCTGCCCATCTTCATTTCATATGCCTTCAGGGTCTTTGCTCTTCCACGAAGCTCTGCCCGATCTCCCACATTAAAGGAAAACCTCTCTCTCAGTGATTTCTTCTAGTGTTTGTTGCATCTTTTGTTCCCTTTCTGGCTTTTTGGGGGTGACTTCTCAACTATGAGCTTTATACAGACAGGTAATTCTGCCTTTACTATTGCTCTGTATCTTAGCACTTGGCCTTGCACCCAGGAGGCATTTGAATCTGCTGAACTGAATTTCTCCTGAATTAAGCATAAGGTAAAAAAAAAAAAAAGACAGCAGTGTTTCTCAGTGTAGATACTGTTGGCATTCCACATGGGACAGATGTCCATTGGGTGGGACTACTGTGTCATTGAGTAAGACAGTGTCTTCAGTCCCTACCTATTCAGTGTCCTATAGCTGTCCTCAACAACTGAAACGCATTTTAACCATTTAAAACTGATCCCTTGAAGCAAAGGAAAAAGATGGAGAACCATTTAAAACTGTATTTTAAGGCATTAGGAGTTGTAGTTCAGACATTGTACAGTTACTGATACTAGTCAAATCTGTTACAGGAGTAAATTGTGACACTTTGATAATTTTGTAGCATCCATTTTGCTTTTCATTTCGTTGTTCATTAGGGCATCACCATCTTTAGTGTGGACAGTGAAAGGTAGGTTATACCAGTGAAGACTGGGCAGTTTCTGTAATAGAAGATCCTCAGTTTCTGTTTGTCTAGTAAAGGGGTGAGGCTTGCTAAAGTCAAATAGGAGATGGACTCTGAGAGACATTTTTAAATGACAAATAATCCTCAGGAAGGTCACAGTTTCCAGAAAGAAGAGAATGTGGAAGCCAGCCCATCCCCAGTTTGAGATGAGAACATTTCAAACAATACACAATAAAAGTTGGGAAAACTGCACAAGATTCTGCAGTAACAAAAGTTGCATGGAAATGTCTTACCCTTCAGTTCTCTGTACATAATATCATGCTTTGGGCTACCTTTTGGGCCTTTTCCCTTCAAACCAGTGCCCCTGATAATAGTTAAGGATTTTTCATTGTAACACTGAATTGTTGAATCTTTTTGTTTTGGTTTTGGTTTAAAGAGATGTAATATGGTTTAAGTCATTGCTCACAGGCTAGTTTGATGATAATTTCCCCTTTGGAATTGCAATCTGCTATGAAGTACATTTGATGGTCTGGTAGTCTTATAAAACATGAATCAAGGAAGAAAGCTGGACAGTCCAGGCTACCCTTGTGGGAATTTCTGGTTAAAAGAAATTGTAACTGTTACAAATAAATAATGCCATTAGCTGCCAGAGTCCTCTGGAACCATGGTAATTGGGAGAAATGTGATTTGCATACATTGAACATAGCAGTAGCCGTAATGTCAGATTTAATCTAACATGCTTTGGGATTATGACACTGTTTCTCCTCTCAGCCATCTTTATTGTTTTGCTGAAACATTTAAGAAATCCACTGGATTTGGAAGCTAGGATAGCAATTCTAGAAACTTTGAGGAATGCAAGGGTTTGTGAGACTGTTTCCCTCAGGAGTTCAAAGTATAGTTGAGGAAAATGCATAGAACAGAAAACAATAGTAAGATATGAGATGTGCCATGGTAGAAAGGTAAGTCCATGGTGCTTTCCAGAAGTACAAATCAGGGGCACCCAAATAGTAGTAAGCAGTGGGAATGTGGGGCGCACTGAAGGGTGCTTTCCAGAGAAGTGACTCATGTACCCTGAAGGGATTCATGCTGCTAACGATGGTCAGGAAAGGCATTTTGGATGAAAACAGAGGCCAGGGACAGAATGACTGGTCCAACGAACAAGAAGCAGTTTATGTCAGTAGACTGCAAAATCCACATAGGCCAGAAGATGAGGGAATATGTGGAGCATAGAACAAAAAACTCTTTGGTTAATGTGAAGATTCTGTAACAGCATCTGAATGGGACATAATTGAAGAGTTTTTAAGTTCTACATTAATGTTAAAAATTTTAAAAATTGATATGAGAGAGTAACAGTGAGAGAGAAGGAGAATTAGAGAGGTGGGACAGAGAGAGATTTTACATCCTGCTAATTCACTCCACAATGACTGCAGTGGCTGGTTCCAGGCCAGGCTAAAGCCCAGAGCCAAGTACTCGGTCTCCCAAGTAGGTGATAGGGGCCCAACTACTTGGGGTATCATTGATTTGCCCTGTGGCACACTATCTGGGAGCTAGCTGGGTTGGCAGCAGAACAGCAGCATTCAAACCACTGCTCCACTGTGGGATGCTGACACCATGTGACACCTCTTCATCTTTCATACCATAATACCAGCCTCCCAAAGCTTTTTGACTGATACTTATTTATACCTGTCTTTGGATACAATGTGATATGTCAGCACATGCATACATTTTGCAATGACCCAATTAAAATAACATATTCATACAATAAATTCTTACTTCTTTGGAGGTAAAAATGTTAAAAAATCGCTTCTAGCAACTGCAAAATACACAGTATGTTACTGTTAACTGTAGTTACCCTCTTGGGCCATAGATTACCAGAACTTATTCCTCCTAACATTTTATCCATTGACTATCCTCTCCCCATATTTCATGTCCCCTTGTTTTCCCATTCTGTGATAATCAGATTAACTCATGACTTTCAAGATGTCAGCTTTTTTAGATGCTACATAGGAGTTGAGATTATGATTTTCTTTCTGGTCTGACTTGTTCAGCATAATGTCCTCCAGGTTTAGCCACAAATGAAATAATTCAAAATTCAATACCATGTTTCCTTTATTCATTCATCTGTTAATATATACCTAGGTAGAATCCATTCCATAGCTGTTGTTGACTGGTAGAGCAGGAAGTCTGAGAATACGAAGTTCTCTTCAACATGCTGCTTTTATTTCCTTTGGGTATATACTCATTAGTAGGATTGTTAGATTATAGGGTCACAGTTTTTTAAACTTCTTATAAGACTATGAAGCAACTTTATTCTGAGAATATTAGCAACTTAATGAACTGTGTGTTTCTTCAAAAGCCCAAGTTCAGAAAAAGTGACATGGAGAGAAAAAAAGATTAAATAGCTTCATATATGCATATGAATCTAAGCAATCAAGTTCATTTTATCTAAGCAATCTATGTTCATTTTAAAAACCCTCCCCCAAGAATAACTAAAGGCCTACATAATTTCACAGGTGAATTTCACTAAACATTTAAACACAGTAGTACACATTCAGAAAATAGAAAAGGAACAAATGCTTTCTTACTCCTTTTAAGATATCAGTATAACCATAATGAATATAAAAGATATTATAAGAAATTTAAAGAACCGCAACCCTAATTAATAAAAATGAAAAAATCCTTCACCAGGTTTTAAAAAATCCAGATAAAGGTCAAAAGAAAATATGAACCATGAGATGTTTATTCTTTCACTTGTATATCTGTTCTTCTGTTGAGCGCTCGCATGTTTTCCAGAT